TTACATTGAACTGTAAAACATGAGCCGTAACCCTCTTGGGATCAGAAGCCGGATGCACCCTCAGCAGCACTTTCACAATCGGAAGCAGTCCTCTAATTACTGCGTAGTACTGCACATGCTTGTTAGGTGCAGGCAGAGCCGTGAAGACATGGTGCCTCGATCCTCACAGCGTTAAATTTTAAATCGCTTGACTTAAACTCTTCCACTCTTCCTCCTAGATCCTGAACCCAAAAGCCCAAGCCCCCAACGGAAGGATCCTCACTCTCAAACAGGATATGCAAGTTTACCATTCTACCAAAGTATTGATTGCAGCTGTCGTGATGTTTGCACGGAATCGTAAAGTGCTAGAACCTGTAAGGAACCAGAGATTTCGCCCTCATCGGTCACCCTCAACCGAGAATCTTCAGCCCCAAAACCCTAAACCCTAAACCCTAATTCCAGAACCGGGTTGGAGGTTTCGGCGGTCGCTTTCTTGTGGTGGCAAGCACCCAAGGGGGCGTTGAGACTGGGGATACGCACCTCAAGCTTTGGGGTTTGGCGCTTTCGGTTGAAGGTTCTTTGAGGGATCTGTTGGGGTTGTGTAAGGGCTCTGCAAGAAAACTCGGCTTGAGTGGGTCATTTCAAGGAAACCCTAAACCCTAAGCCCTACTTGGAGGTTCATGGGTAGTTATAAGTGGGGTTATAAGTCCCCTAGTATGGGTTGTAAGTATAGTTACCCTACTTTTTACCCTACTTATAACTACCAATGAACCTCCAAGAGCCCTCAGCCCTATCTGTGTGGCTTTGAGCCTTCAGAGCTCTTTTCAGGGACATTTTGCGCATGTGCGGCTTCACATATCAGGGGCATTAACGGATCTTAATAAATAGGGCCCTAGCCCTAGTAGAACCCTAAAACAAAGAAGACTTGCAGGAATCCATAAACGAACCTGTAAAGGAGTGTGTTCTTCTCGGAGCTGTTGCCCCACGTCTCTCTTTCACGCATTTAGTTCTGGCTTTAGGGTTTAGGAGCCACATCGAAGCCGCCGGGCAGATGCAAGGTGCATGAACCATGCCAGAAAAAGTGCGGTGTTGCCTCTCCCTGCTTATCCCGAGTTTGAGTGCCTGGCCTTGATCGAACACTCAACCCCAAACCCTAAATCCCAAACTCAAAACCCTAAACTTGTACACGTGAACCCACAATCCTAAGCCCTGAGCCCTAAACCCTAAATCCGAAACCCTCGGCCCTAAACCCTAAAGGCTGAATCCTAAAACCTCTGCCCTAAACCCTAAAGCCCGAAAAGCCCAATGGCGGCTTCCGTTCAGGTTTGGCTTTGCCACATGACACCCGGGCGGAGGCTTCGACTAGGGTTCCCTAAAGTTTCGGAGTTTCCGAAATTCAGGGGTGCCTTATTTTGGAGTCCTTAGTTTAGGGTTTAGGGCTTAGGGTTATGGTACTTTATTTTGGGGTTCGCAGTTTAGGGTTTAGGGCTTAGGGTCCTGCTACTTAGGGTCCTAGATTAGGGTGCTCTATTTTCGGAAACTCCCATTTGTCGGGACCCTTAACCCTAAACCCCAAACCCTAAACCCTAAACCCTAAACCGTTTAGGGACTAGGTTTTCGGTTTAGGGTTTCCTACAGGTCTACAGTTACCTGTAAAAGTCGCGTAAGGGCTGCTACAAAGATGCTTTACAGGACTTAGGGTTCCTTTAAGGGTTCTATGGAGTTCCATATGGGTGGTTGTCAAAATTGTGGTCCCTTTTTGGGTCCTTTATTCTAATACGGCACCGAGTATTTAGGGTTGGGGGGACCAACATTTTGCCAACTACCCATATGAGGTTTAGGGTTTTGGATTCAGTTGCTACAAAGATACCTTAGAGGACCTAGCGTTCCTTTAAGGGTTCTGTGGGGTTCCATAGTAGGGTCCCCTTTAAGGTACTATCAGGCTCCCGTTGAAGGGATCCTGTTAAAGAGCTGTAACGGCTAGTACATAAGGGTTGCTTTGAAGCTCCCCGACGATGATATGTATGCACATATGAATACATACATACATGTATATGTTTATGTACATGTATAAAAGTAGTCTTTTATGCCATAGTGTTCTCCAGCTTACGTGAAGGAGGGTGAGCCATGTGGGCGGAGACACGAGATGGACGCAGATACGGATGCGATATTGGCCGAGCTACAGACTTTACACAGAACGTGTTTGTCGGTTCAGGTTTAGTTTACCCGGCGATTTGTTGTTGTTGTTCAGGCCCAGTCATCACGTGAAAGGAGTGCCAACCGTGCGAGTGCTGCAGCTGCAAAGGCCACTTGTTGTAGTTTAATACGGGGGCCCACAGTATCCCAAAACTGTATACAGCAAAACCTTATGAACACGATTCAAACTCCAGCCACTGCACCCAACATCAACAAGAATTCTGAGAGCTGGCGCAGGTTTAGTATAGGGGTCGGAATAACTAGCAATAGTATCCCGTAGAAATCACTCTCACACCATACATATAAATAAACAAATAAATAAATAAGTAAATAAATAAATAAAGAAATATATATATATATATATGTATCTTCTGTAATACACACATATGTATATATATATATATACCTCGATAAACAATGTCTCCTGCATTGTGAACGCTTATCTGTATTCGGGTTCAGATAGCCCTTCATAAACCCAAACCTCTCTAATCCCCAAAATCCCCCTGAACCCTAACCCCCTGAACCCAACAGCTCTAAACCCTCAACCCGACGCCCCCGAACCCCATTATTAATCCCTTATAGTCCTTTCAAGAACCCAAAAGCCCGAAACCTAGCAGGTTGCACCCCGCAGCTTTACCTCTTCAGCGTCTGAGTGGCCAAAGAGCCTGCTCGCTGACGGCCAAAAACATGATTTAGGATTGGGAGTTCTAGGATTTAAGGTTTAGAGCTTTAGGGATGTAGGGTTTAGGGTTTAGGAGCTGGGTTCGGCCGTCGTCGCCGCATGTGAGCCCCTGCAGCCTCAGCAAAGGCCCACGCCTGAACCCGGGATCGCAAACCACAAAATTTCATTACTAGTGTCATCGGTGTTGTACTTGTTTGAGATGTCAATATACTGTCATTGTTATGGTTGTTGTGAATGTTATTGTTTAGTTACTTTGTTTGATTATTGTTTGTGCTGTCATCCGCTTTATGTGTGTTCTTCTTGTTCCTGTTCTTGTTCTAGGGTCGATCGCCCTCGTTTGCACCACTTTCTCTGTCCCTCATGTCAACATCGTGCCCGCATCCACTTGCCATCCATGCCCAAACCATGATAACGTCATGCTGCCAATCCATCCATCGGCCAGTGCATCCATGCCCCGACCAGTCCATGTTACCAAGCCGTGCATTGGCCAGTCAACCATCCCCAAACCATGATAACGTCCATGCTTGTGGTTGTGGTTGTTGCTGTTGTTGCTGGAGTTACTCTATTGATGATCAGTATATTTTTTGCTTGTTATCATTGGTTTCGCACTATTTCGATCGTTATTGCCATGATCTAATGAATTATCTACTTCATCATCTCGCTGTTGAACTAACTGACTTGCTTGGTTGCGTACTTGTTTGCTTACTTTGCTCACTTACCTACTTACTTACTTACTTACTTACTTGCTTGCTTGCTTGCTTACTTACTTACTTGCTTGCTTACGTACCTTCTACTTGCTTGCTTAATTACTTGCTTACGTGCTTGCTCGCTTGCTTGATTGCTTGCTAGCTTACCTACCTACTTACTTACTTACTTACTTACGTGCTCACTCGCATACGTGCTTACATACCTACCTTCCTAACTACCTACGTACTTACTTACTTGCTCAACCTAGCTTAACCTAACTTAGCATTGCTTAGCTTAGCTTGCCTTAGCTTTTCTTAGCCTAGCTTGCCAAACTAAGTGATTAAGTGAATTATGTGGTTCATCAGTTAACTAGTCAGTTACTCAGATGATTTCTGAGTTAGGTGAACGATAGGTAAATACCTATATATGGTCAGGCGTCTGGCGTTCCCAGCCCCCCCCCCCCCCCCCCCCCCCCCCCCAACGGTATGGTCTGCTAGGGGTGGGGGGGGGGGGGGCTGGCGTGTGCGGAAAGGGGTCGGGGCTGTTGGAGCTGTCACTGGATTGTGGGGTGGTGCTCGCGGCCTGGGCTCGCACGCACAAGCAAGCCGCAAACCCTATAACGCAGCGCGTGCTCCTGTTTTGAGTAACCTAAACTTGTACTTCAAACCCTATACCCAACCCTAAACCCCACCTAACTGCAGGCTCTAAGCCTAAAGCAGAACATACACCGCAAATCCTCCCCAAGCCCTTGTCGACTCGAAGCGCTATACCTTGTAACCGTAAACCCAACACTCAAAAGCTTAATCTAAACCCTAAACCCCAAAACCCCACAACCACCCCACAGGGGGAAGAGGAACCCCACACCCCACACCACAGGGGAGGGGGGGTCCCACCCTACATCCGGACCATTGACCTTTGGGGGGGGGAGGGGGGGGGGGCCGCGGAGCGCGTGACCATATATGCTCCATGCTGGACCCTTCGCCCAAACGAGAACGCTGAGCCATTGTCCCTGACCCTGAACCCTCAATTATAAGCGCTCTACCCTGAGCCACAAACTTACAGAAGCCCCTCGCCAGTTTTTTCTGCCGCTGCCTTGGGCTTCACAGCCCCGGTTTGCTTTTGGAAGTCAAGACTCTGGCTTCGACCAGAGCCCACTCTAGAGGATTGAGGGTTAGGGTTGAGGGTGTGATGCGAGATGACGGTACAGCCCAGCATAGCAGAGTAGGATCTTCAGGCTGGAGTGGGAAGCACGTTTCAGCTTACTGTAAGCTTCAGGTTTTGCAGAAGACGGACAGAACCCCACAGCCTCACGTCCACACGCAGAGACCTTGACGACCCCCAACATTCCCAATCCACAAGCCGCAAATCCCAAATCTTCGAGCAAACGCATCACGAAACGAGGTAATCAGTACTCAGAATGATGATGAGACAGGTCTTTTTGCAGTAGCTAGAACACATGCCTGTTCATTTGCCCGCCGTGCCCCGTCCCATGTTCGGGCGGGGGCCAGATGCGCAGGGAACTGAGACGCTCGTGAGGGTTTACAGGGTTTGGCCGTTTCGGGGTTAGGGATTAGGATTTGGCTAGTTGTCAACATTAAGGTCCCTCTTTGGGTACCCTAAATAACAGGTGCCGTATTACAATAAGGACCCAAAAAGGGACCCTAATATTCACAACCACTATTTGTCTGTTTAGCTCGGTTGGATTAGAGCAATAATCGTAAGGTTTCCTAGCTGGAAACCTGACACGTGACAGGAACCCAAATAAGAGTTTCCGAAAATTAGGGGTACCTTGTTTTGGGGTCCTTACAATAAGGATCCTACCAGTTAGGGTACTATATTGGGGTACCCCATTTTCGAAAACTCTCAAATCTAGATTGGCCCTCGGAAAGCCGATTAAGCTATGCAAGTCCTTGTCTTGGGCTGATCTCAAAAGAACTTTGAAATTTCTGCAAAACCCTGAACCCTAAGCCCCTAAACGCTAAACCCTAAAGAAACCCCAATCCCTAAACGGAAAGACCTAGTAAGTTGACTGTCCGTGATGCATTAACTCGGGCCTCCCTTGAGTGCGGGAGGTCTTTCCACCCACGTCCATGGGTTGCTGCGGGAGTGCGGTTGCGTGGAAATCGGGTTTAGGTCTTAGGAGATTTAAGGTTCGGGGTTGAGGGTTTAGGGTTTAGGTTTTAGCGTTTAATTAAGGTTCGGGGTTGAGGGTTTAGGGTTTAGGTTTTAGCGTTTAATTAAGGTTCAGGGTTGAGGGTTTAGGGCTTGGATTATTGGTGTCAATCAGGGTGGCCTGCTTTACAGACCACCCACACAGAGCCTAAACCAAAGAATCCCTCCAGCGTGGGTGGGCGGGGCTGGGTTGCGCTCCAAAACCTGACATTCTGTAAACTGCTAGCTGGTGCCGACTTGTAAGCAGTCTTCGGTCGTACGTATGAGCCCATGAATCCTATAGAGTCGCATCGTGGCACCAGGGAGTTTCCGAAAATAGGGGTACCTTATTCTGGGGCCCTGATGATAAGGATCCTACTATTTAGTGTACCGTATTAGGGTCCCCTATTTTCGGAAACTCCCACCAGATTCCAATCTTCAGACGGCCTTCCAAATCGAGTTCGCAACGCATACAAATCCAACAGTCCTCCTGCGGCCCGAATGGAGATCGAAACTGTTCCCTTATAGATCCCTTAAGGGAGCCCGGAGCCCTCATAGGAACTCGTAGTAGAACCCTCGAAAAACCTGAAACCTAAACCCTAAACCTAGAATCCTAAACCCTTAACTAAACTCTGAGACCTGTACACCAGGAACTCAACTCAACCGAAGCCCTAGGCCTTGAAACCCGCAGACACACATACCAAAGAGCCAACAAGCCCTTTGACAACCCTAAACCCTAAACCCTAAACCCTAAACACTCCATCCCCAAAGCCTCAACCTGAGCCCATACACACACCCCTGATTCCTAAGCCCTGAACCCTAATCCCACCAACCACCAGAAGCCATAAACTGATCTTGAGCCCTAGGGGAAACCACAGAAACCCCTAAACCCAAACCCTTAAACCCTACATCTTATAGATCCCTTATAGATCCGTTAAAGGAGCCCTAAGTAGATCCCCTAAAGGAGCCGTTAGTAGATCCCTTAAAGGGAACCCTAAGTAGATCCCTTAAAAGGAGCCCTAAGTATGTAGATCCCTTAAAGGAACTTTCATAGGCACCCTTAAAGGAGCCCCCAAAAAACCTAAACCCTAAACCCTTCCAGAGACTCAAATATCCCTTAAGTGAGGAATATACCTTAAGTTATAGTAGGATGCCTAATATGACTTAAGGTATATTCCTTAATTAGGGGATATTGGAGTCTCTGGGCTTAGCCGCCTTAGCCACACAGAAACCTAAACCTTACGCCCTAAGCATCCCTTATCCCTTACCGATCCCTTAAATGGAACCCTAATAGGCCCCCCCCCATTGCAAACAAATCCAACGCCCTTCCCAGAGACTCCATTATCCCTTGATTAAGGAATGTACTTGAAATTATAGTAGGATCCTCAATATAATCTAAGGTATATCCCTCAATTAAGGGGTATTGGAGTGTCTGGGTTCTAAACCCTAAACCCCCTAAACCCCAAACCCCTAAACCCCCAAATCCCTAAACCCCCTAAACCCCTAAACCCCCGAAACGCCCTAAACCCCTAAACCCCATAGATTCCTCAAAGGAACCCCCATAGATTCCTCAAAGGAACCCCCATAGATCCCTTGAAGGAACCCCTATAGATCCCCTAAAGGAACCCGTAAAGGAACCCCTAAACCCCGTTTTGAGGTCCAGGAGCGAAGATGCCAGGGCCTTTGGCGAGCTCCTGCTTTGAGTTTCCTTACCTTTGGTGAGTTTGGGTTTAGGGGTTTAGGGGATCTACTTGGGGCTCTTTTAAGGGATCTATAAGGGATCTGCAAGATGCAGGGTTTAGGGGTTTAGGGGCTTTGGGGGTTTAGGGTTTAGGGTTTAGGGGTTTAGGGTTTAGGGGTGTAGGGGTTTAGGGTTTAGGGTTTAGGGTTTGGTTAGTAGGGAATGTAAGACTGGTAGTAATCCTCCATTCCCTCCGAACCAAAGGTAAGCTTCGGGGCCCTCGGCTTTCAGGGCTTTGCAGCTTTTAGGGGTTTGGGGGTTTGGGGGTTTCGAAGTTTCGGGTTTAGGGGTTTAGGGGTTTGGGAGTTTGGGGGTTTCGAAGTTTCGGGTTTAGGGGTTTAGGGGTTTGGGAGTTTGGGGGTTTCGAAGTTTCGGGTTTAGGGGTTTAGGGGTTTGGGAGTTTGGGGGTTTCGAAGTTTCGGGTTTAGGGGTTTAGGGGTTTGGGAGTTTGGGGGTTTCGAAGTTTCGGGTTTAGGGGTTTAGGTGTAGGTTTTGCGGGTTTGGGGGCTGTAGTGTTCGTTTGGCTTTTGGGAGTTCTGATCTCGCAGCATTTAGCATGTTTGTAGAGTGTTGTGTTGAGTGACTCATGAAGGTCTGTGACTTCGAGGGTTCAATCCAAGGGTACAAGGAGGGACCCTTAATAAGGACCCCTAGGTATACACCTTGAATATAGCTCCATTCTAGGGTAGGGGTCCCCATTAAGGGTCCCTCCTTTTCCCCTAAACCCCCTAAACCCCCTAAACCCCCAAACCCCTAAACTCTAAACCATATACCCTTATAGAATCCCTATAGATCCCTTTAAAGGGACCCTTCAAGGGTCCCTCCTTTTCCCCTTTGACTCAAGGTTTGGAGTTTCGGGTGGACAGGCCTAAAGTCGCCGAACCCCATAGCAGATCCGGAACCGGAAACACCTGAAACACTTCAAGAACTCAAAGGGGAAAATGAGGGACCCTATAATGGGGACCCCTACCCTATAATGGGTTATATAATGGGTACATCCATACGCATCGTTTGCGCCCCCACTCTACAGGAACGTTTCTGCCCAGAGGCTCCAATATCCCTTAATCAGGGAATATTCCGTAGATCATACTAGGTATCCTACTATAATTAACGGTATATTTCTCAATTCCGGGATACTAGAATCCCCTAAACTCTGGGGTCCCCCAAGCTTTCCCCCAACCCCCTGTTGTTTGCAGACCTCCAGAGAAACCCTACAGATCCCTTACAGTCCCCTTAAAGGAACCCAAATACTGTATCCCCTTAAAGGAACCCTAGTAGATCCCTCATAGTCCCCTTAAAGGAACCTTAATACAGACCCCCAGAAGAATCCAAAAAGTAGATCCCTCAATGGGGGTTCCTATAAAGTAACCTTAGTATAGGGCCCCAAATTGTGAGGGAACCCGAATACTTAAAGGAACCCGACTAGATCCCTTGAAGCAGCCCTAATCGATCCCTTAAAGGGACCCTAGAGATCCCTTACAGTCCCCTTAAAGGATCCCATTATAGATCCCTTAAAGGAACCCTTAAAAGAACCCTCATAGATCCCTTAAAGGAAGCCTCCTCGTTCTTGCAGACTTCCAGAGTGAGGCCGGGCGCGATGGGGGCCGGACCGGTCTCAAAGAGACGAAGGCGCCTTCGTCATGTTTTGGTTTAGGGTTTAGGGTGGTTTAGGGTTTAGGGTTCGGGGTTTAGGGTTCAGGATTTAGGGTTCGGGGTTGAGGGTTTAGGGTTGAGGGTTTAGGGTTCAGGGTAAAGGGTTTAGAGTTCAGGGTTTAGGGTTACAACATGATGTTTGTTGTCAGAGTTCTCTACCACAATATGGATCTAGTTCTGGGTTATCATGCGCACCCATCCATCCGTCCGTCCATCCATCCATCCATTCATGCATACAGTCATACGCATGCATTCATATGCGTGCATGCATGCATGTATGTATGTATGTGTGTGTATGTATATACGTACGTATGTATATACGTATGTATGTATGTATGTATGTATGTATGTATGTATGTATGTATGTATGTATGTATGTATGTATGTATGTGTTTATGCACTTATGCATGTATGTATGTATGCATGCATGCGTGTATGCATGTATGTAGGTATGTATGCATGCATGCATGGATGGATGTGTGTATGATTGAACATTGTTGGGCATGGGGTGCTGCTGCTGCTCCTCCTCCGCCGCCTCCTCCTGCTGCTGCTGCTGCGATGTGACAAGTCGCTTCGATCGAAATTCATGCAATGGCAACGCTCGAGTATAATTAGAATAACTAGAAGCCTGTATAATTGCCAATATTGTTCCTTGGGGTGCAATGTTATATCGGTGCAACAACAAGCCCCAAAACCAACCCGACGCGATTATAGGAATTCAGGCGTCAATAATGGCCGCACTGAAGGGACTCGCTACGGCAGCCATGAGCTGTCGCGGGCACAGCCGCAGCCTTTATGTAATGAGCCACTGCCTCGAGTCGCCGAAGATGATTGGGTTCCAGGTTTTTAGGCTTTAGGGTTTTGGGGTTCACGGGTTCTGGCGTTTGGGGTTGTGGGTTTTGGGGTTGGGGTTTCGGGTTTAGGGTTTCGGGTTTCCAAAGTTTAGGATCTGGGATGTTACCTTCAACAGCACTCGTCTAACTGTTTTTCGGGCTCCTGCTGCACGGGCATTTAGAAAACGGACTTGGGGTATCAGAACTTGTTGGGTTTAGGGTTGAAGGTCAAGCGGTGTTCCCTACATCGTCAGACCCTACATGCCCTCTCGCAAGAGTGTGTTTTGATATCTATAGACTGCATAAAGCATTGTAGAAGGCTTCGAGAACATGAAACCCCAAATCTGCAGGCTTCGCTGAAGCCACTGGTCCGGGATGTCATCAACGCACGCTGCCGACTTGTTTGCCTGAAGCCTGAAGCCACGATGTTGGGATTTCAGGTTTAGGATTTAGTGATGTATCTTGGCCCTTTTCGGTTGAGGGGAGGTTTATAAAAAAAGCGAAGGTTGGTTTCCAGCGGCTTTGGGTGTTTAGCTTCGGTGGTGGTAACTTGCGGTCTTTGGGCTGGGGTTATATGGGGTTCGGGGGTTTAGGGTTTCGGGGTTTAGGGTCTGCAAAGGTATGCTGCAGCATACGCGGAAAGTTTTGTTTAGCCGGGCTCGGGGCGCGACCCCAGAGCCTCCAAAACCCCTTAATTAAGGAATATGCCTTAAATTATATTAGGGATCCTATTATACTTCAAGGTATATTCCTTAATTAAGGAGCTTTGGAGGCTCTGGGACATGTTCGCTGTCAATTGCGGGCCTTCGGACGTTCGGGGCTAGCCCGTCTGCGCAAGGGAAGCCCTGTTGTTTTTTTGGTTTAGGGTTTAGGGTTTAGGGTTTAGGGTTTAGGGTTTCGGGTTTGGGGTTTAGGGTTTAGGGTTTAGGGTTTAGGGTTTAGGGTTTGGGGTTTAGGGTTTGGGGTTTAGGGTTTAGGGTTTGGGGTTTAGGGTTTGGGGTTTAGGGTTTAGGGTTTAGGGTTTAGGGTTTAGGGTTCAGGGTTTAGGGTTTAGGGTTTAGGGTTTAAGGTTTGGGGTTTAGGGTTTAGGGTTTGGGGTTTAGGGTTTAGGGTTTAGGGTTTGGGGTTTAGGGTTTAGGGTTTAGGGTTTAGGGTTTAGGGTTTAGGGTTAGAAATGATACTCTGTCGCAGCACATTCGCGACTTGCACATTCAGTGCAACCAGCTTGAAGATAGGCTTGCAGCCGCCCAAGTTGCTGTCGCTGTGCCTTTTCCTGCTGGCTTGCTGACCCAAGCGTCATCAGCTGATGCAGTCAGTGCCTGGGGTCGTTTCGGGACCGGATGATTCTGTTGAAACCATGTGGGAGATTCCGAAAATAGCGGACACTAATCTAGTACCCTGAATAGTAGGATCCTTGCTTATAAGCATTGCATCAAATTTCTTATCGGATTTCAAAAGGCTTGCATGAAAGTTCTTCAGGGTTTCGTAACGGCCCCTGGCGGTTTCTGTATATTGATGGTTCTGTTTGCTCCTTCGTCACACAAAACATGGTCGCCCAATAACCCTAAACCTCTACGTAAATCCTAAACCAACCCACGACCCCCGACAACTCGTGAGTTTCAAACATTATGGAACCCGTAAGGGCTTGGAGTCTCTGGGAATCCAGCTTATACTAGGGATCCGATCACTACGTAGGGCCATTACAGAAGGGGGGGGCCGCCCAATGCCCTGATATTGAGAACCCCACCATAAACCGAAACCCAAAACCTTCAAACCCAAGCCCTAAACCCTAAACCCAAACCCGAAACCTGTCCGTGTGGGGTTCCGAGTCTAGGGTCCTTCAAAGAGAGGCACTTTCTTCAAAGGCCCTAGTGTTTAGTCCCATAATCGAAAGCTTAGGATGGAGAGAGGGTTTATGTGTGAGGGGTCGACATGAAGCCTTAGCAAAAATATTTGGGATGTTAAGTATGAGGACTCCGAGGTAGAAGCTCTTGTAAGCAACTTGGTAGCACTCTTATAATATAGGGGCCGAAATAATTACCTATACTATGTTGGGGGTTCCTTGTTATAAATAATATTAGTATAATGGGCCCCAAAACCCTATTCTAATTATTAAGGCCCCTACATTACAAGCCTGTGCAACCTTTCTGGACTCGTCTGAGCCATGCCAGGGACTCGTTCCCGTGGACAAGGACTGTCTGCGCGTTTAGGGTGTTTGGGGTTTGGGGTTTAGGGTTTTCCGGTCCTGAAAGTAGATTCCTCAAACAGGTTGCTTATGCCAAGAATCAAGGGGGGTTCTCTAATAATCGGGTTCTTATCAGAGTTCAGTTCTCTTGTAGTGGCATCACTTTGAGCTCAATCTAGATCACTTGCCAAGTTAATTGACTGTGTCGTTCAGGATTCGCAAAACAATACTATGCGCTTTGGAATGAAAGTACGGCGACCACCTTCAAACGAGCTCTGTCGCGTTGGGAATCTGTCTGCGCCGCAATGGGTGCCTAGAGTCTGATTGATTTAGTATTTAAGAAATCTGCTCAGTTATTTAACAAGTATTACCACCTATAGATTATAGTAATCTGAATTGATATTAGTTCTAGTAATAACAATGCCAATGCGGAGACTTATGCGGAAGCAACAGCTAAAGTAGGGTTTCGATATTTGGGCGCCGATGCGGAGGCGCCGGCGGCAAGGGGAGGTCGCTCATGCCAGGGCATCTGAAGCGCACCTACCCGGATCACGTCCACATGACCTTGGACGTGCGCCAGTTGGTGGCGGATCCGGCGAAGAAGGACAAGGCGCCGGCGGGGGTGTCCGCGCTTGCTCATCAAGTCGTTGACTGCCAACTACAATGAGAATTTCGATCAATCGGCTACGGCTGCTTTCCGAGTATGTCGAACACAAGGTGCCGAAACGTTATCTCCTGAACGGTCCTTCCCTGGTACATGTTTTGGGAAACGTGATCAAAGCGACATGCATGGGTCGCTACTACGGACTTTGGTTCTGAGGACAACAGCCCGCTCCGGGCTTTCTTTCACGTGCTGGGGTTTAGGGGTTTTGGGGTTTAGGGCTACGGGGGTTTAGGGTTTGGGGCTACGGGGGTTTCTGGTTCTTTTAATTTGCTTTTGATTCTAGCGCTAGGAAGGGGCGAACGGAGCATCGACCCTAAACCGTCATGGACAGAGGTTTGGGGTCTTAGGCTTGCAGGTCCAGTGTTGAGAAGATGCGCGTACTGTTAGTACTCTTGCTATCATCAATATTGATTTATTTGGTTCCCCATACCCGAAACCCTAAACCCGAAACGTGATTTGCATTGCTACCAGCTTTTTTCATGTTTTTTCCAGGCCATGGGTTGGGTAAATATAGTGGTGTTAATAGTTATGGCAAGGAAAACCAAGGACAAATTTGCAAGTAGTCAGGCTTCTAGATTAGGGTGGTTAGACTCACGGTTGCCAACGCTCCGTTGCGCTGCGGGCAGCGGTGAGGTTTTCCGGAGACGCTGTAGACTCCAACCCAGAGAGCGCGATACCCCCTTAAATTAAGGAAGATGGCCTAAGTTATAAAGGGCCTCATATTATGACTTAAGCTATCTTCCTTAATTCCCTTGTAGAAGATTTATAATTAGATCCCTTTAGGGAACCCCTAGGCCTTAAGCTATATTCCTTAATTAAGGGGTATTGGGCTGAGGCTGCGCCGTAAGAGGGGCTCGGAAGCCTCCAGCCATAAGGTCGGGGCCTAGGGCTCCTTTAACGGGGTCTATAAGGGCTTCTATAAGGGATCCATAAGGGTAGGGTTTAGGGTTTAGGGTAGGGTTCCTTTATAGAGGTTCTAGAAAGGGCTGCTATGTAGTACCCTTATTCCCTTCTTGCAGTCTTAGGTTTCTGATAAAGTTACCCAACACAAAAAAGGGAGCCCTTTTTTGTTCCTATGTCACTGGGTATCCTAGTTAAAGGGTTCTATAAGGGTGACTATAGGGGATCTATAAGGGTAGGGTTCTTTTAAAGGGTTCCGTAAAGGGCTACTGTAATTAAGGGAGCAAGAAGGGGACGACAATATAGGGCCTTAATTATTGGAATAGGGTTTCTTTAAAGGGTTCGATAAGGATCTATAAGGGTACTATAATGTAGGGGCCTTAATGATTAGAATAGGGCTTAGGGGTATGGCATACTATAATTATACTAAGGAGCCCCAAAACCGTAGTCTAAGTATGAAGGCCTCTACATTAAACAGCCCACAGTGTAAGGTCTTATGAACGCCCTAGGCCCTAAACCCTAAGCCCTAAAACCCTGAAACCTTGAAGCCGAAAATAGGACTTTCCGAAAATTAGGAGCACCTTATTTGGGGGTCCTTACGATGGGGATCCTACCATATAGGGTACTATATTAGGGTCCCCCATTTTCGGACATCCCCAAATAACAAAAATGCCAAAACCCTAAACCCAAGCCTGCAAATCCAAAAGTCCTAACCCCTCCAGAGGAGCCTACATCCCTTAAAGGACCCCTTAAGTGAACCCTTCAAGGAACCCCTTTATGGGATCCTTAAAGGACCCCTTTAAAAAGGAACCCTTAAAGGGGAACCCGTATAGATCACTTAAAGGGTTCAGTGGGTTTAGGGTTTAGGGTTTAGGGTTTAGGGTTTGGGGTTTAGGGTTTAGGGTTTAGGGTTTAGGCCCCTTCAAAACGAAGCTTTGGCAGGACAGGGAGATCATCCAGATACGAAAGGGCCGTGGTGGCCTCTTCGGGAAGCAGGCCTTGCCCTGTAACCCTATAACCCCAAAACCCTAAACCCCTGAACCCCTAATCCCTAAACCCCTAAACCCCTAAACCCCTAAACCTCTAAACCCCTAAACCCCTAAACCCCTAAACCCCTAAACCCCTGAACCCCTAAACCCCTAAACCCCTAAACCCCTAAACCCCTAAACCCCTAAACCCCTAAACCCCTAAACCCCTAAACCCCTAAACCCCTGAACCCCTAAACCCCTGAACCCCTGAACCCCTAAACCCCTAAACCCCTAAACCCCTAAACCCCTAAACCCCTAAACCCCTAAACCCCTAAACCCCTGAACCCCTAAACCCCTAAACCCCTAAACCCCTAAACCCCTGAACCCCTAAACCCCTAAACCCCTAAACCCCTACACCCCTAAACCCTAGGGCAGAGGTTTTGATCTCGAACTCTGGAGCCCCAACCCCCAACATCCTCACCACGACACCCACACCTGAAACCCTAAACCCTAAACTCCGATTCCCTGGAAAAAGGAGCTTAAAAAAAAAAAAAAAAAAAAAAATCCTTAAATCCTAAACCCCAAACCCGGAACCCTCAGTGCTAGGCCTTTGGGTTTGTAAGCTGAAGGGTTTTGCAGGTCGAGGTCTGAAGCCTGAGGGCCCGCCCAGGCTGGGATAGTAAACTCCGAGTTTGACAACACTGGGGTGGTAGCAAAGTCTGTCACCTGAGGAGTTGTCAAAATTAGGGTACCTTTTTGGGTACCCTAAATATTAGGTGCCGTACTATATTAGGGACCCAAAAAGGGACCATCATTTTGACAACCACACACCTGCAATTTCTGGTTTCAAAATTTTGGGGTCGTGAACTCAAGAGCTTAAAACCTGAAGCCCTAAGCCCTTAGCCCTTAAGTTAACCCTAAACCCAAAACCCCTAAACCCCTAAACCCCTAAACCCTAAACCCCTAAACCCCTAAACCCCTAAACCCCTAAACCCCTAAACCCTAAACCCTAAACCCTAAACCCTAAACCCTAAACCGTTTCGGAGCCACGGCAGGCACAGAGCTTCCGCACCACTTCCCAACCCTAAACACCAATAGGGACCCATTCTGTTGATGGTATACCTGTAGCCGAAAAGACCTACCTTTTCAAGGAGCTATATATATATATATATATATATATATATATATATATATATATATATATATATATATATATATATATATACAAATATATATATATATATATATATATATATATATATATAAACACCATAATAAGGAACCCCAAAAAGGTAGGTCTTTTCAGCTACAGGTACATCCTGCATCACTCATAAAAACTAGGACGCCCAGTACTCCCTTATAAACTTACCCAATACCAAAAAGGGAGCCCGTTTTATTCCTAGGTTACTGGGCATCCTAGCCATAGTTTAGGGTCATTAAGGCAATGCAGGATTTATATCATCAACCGTAGTGTTAAGAACCTCCTTCACACCGCAACGATGAGATCTTTGTAGTACTGTATTCTTGCGTCAAGCTTAAACCCTGGGTTCTTGTTCGCCCTAAACCCCAAATCCCAAACCTATGTAAACCTAGAACCCCTACATAGGCCCTATACTTCGAGTATTGCCTGCTACTGTATGCTGTGCTGTATGCTGAAACATTTAGGAGCTTAGCCCTAAACCCCAAGCCCAAAGCAAAGCTTTAAACTCAAACTCCCCGAAACCTTAGCCCTAAACCGTAAACCCTAAGCCCAATGCCTTGAAGTTTTGGCCACAAGTCGTCTTGGAGAACAGCCAGACTATGCAGCCGGCCGTGATGATTGCGCTGCAAGGATGCCCAGCGGGCGCAGCATATATCGGTTGGAGTATGGCTTGTGCCTATGTAGGGTGCTTTACCGGGTGGGCTGCACATAACATGGTCGCTTGCCATTTGCGATCACTATCTGGACCTGCCCGCCTCCCAATGTACCGTGCATGTCAAAGCGGTTGTCGCAACAAGCACGATGGCAATGGGCAAGGTACACACCTGTCACTACAAGTGACCACATGTCGGTTCTCAGCCTGTCCGACAATGCCCCGCTGGTGCACTTTGTAGCAGTCTGTGCGACTTGCGGGCAGTGGTGCTACTGCTCACAAGTACCTGAGGCCACTAGTGGACCGCGCAGCCGTCGCAACCCGCCCTTTTACGACAAGGCGAGGTCATGCACACCCAGGGGATGAACTAGTTTTACTACACATAAATGGTGTTGTGGCTACTCTTTGCTTCTACAGCAGTGCCATCTCCATTCTGACCGGTGGGCTACAGCAGCACCGATTCCCAATTGACCTTTCATGTGATTAGGAGGATAGTGTTGCCAGGCCTTTTGTGGTTGCCCGAGGGATGCGGTTTTCTCCTTCAACACAAGCCTCATTGCTGAGGTATTTGTGTACAATGGTTGGGGCCTCTGACACATGCCCGCGTTTGGATGCTTTAGTTAACATCGTCTTTCAGATCCGAAGGTCCCAACCAACAGGCTCCTCCTAATATAGGAATTCTAACTGTACATGAGAGCCCTTAAAAATAAAACCTGTCAAGGCCTTAACGCCCTCAAACCCGGCGTGGCACTGTTCCTGTAAGGATGACCTCAACTACTACAGCGTCTTTCAGGATATCCGGGAGGGTGTAGGCTTTAGGGTTTTGAGGGTTTAGTTTAGGGTTCAGGTTTTTTTTGAGGGCCGGGAGGGCCACTTTCAGAAGATTGAAAGGGGGGATTCAGAGTGTAGTGCCGAGTGTGTGGTGTATGGTTTCTAGTGTCTGGGGCTGAGGTTTGTGCGTTAGGCCTTCCCCTGGTGGAGTTCGTTGCGTGGTTTTGAAGCTTTGGACAGAGAGGGATCTTGGAGGTTCATGGGTAGTTATAAGTAGGTTCTATACTTATATATAGCCCGTATGAAGGGACTTCTAACCCCACTTATAAGTTTGGCTTGCAGGTGTAAGGTTTGTAACGTTTCGGCCCATTTGGGCCATGGCCAGTCTTTCAAGAAGGGCCCTTAGCCAAGGCTCAAGGGACGCCCCAAACCTCCGAGTATTGTTTGGGGTTCCTTATTCTAAGAACTCTTCTGCAATATATACACCCGAAGCTTTGACACAGCTTTAGCCATGAAACCTAAATCGCCAAGACCCGAAACGCTTCCGCCTGCAAGGCTGTTAATGGTCGTGTTGCGCAGAAGCAGTGGCGGTGATGGTAGTAGGCGTAGGACCAGAAGCAGCAGCAGCAGTAGTCGTCGCGGTCGTCATAGTGCTGCTGCTGCCTCTGCCGCTGCTGCTCCTGCAGCTGCTGTCGCCAGCAAGACCGCGACTTCTACATGTATTACTACTACACCATAAATTGCGCCTCTTACATTTTTTTGGCTTCATTGGTACTGTTATGACCCGTCTTATGTTTTCTACAACGTTTGCTGTTGCTGTTGTTCTCGTTGCAAGTGTCTTGCATTGCAATCTTGCACGGCTTCTTCTTGCTCGAATGACTGGCAGGAGGTGCCGCTGTCTCTGAAAGAGAAGCTGGTTGAGGCCCTCAATACACCTGTTCTTGCTCCTAGTTCTTTTTGAGGTATGTTGTTTCAGCGCCGTGTTGATCCTTAAAGCTGGCGGGTTCAGTTTGTGTGTTTTTGGGGGAAAGGGATCAGCAGTTAGTCATGAAGGTCAGTGCTTAGTTTGCGCATACATATTTTGCAAGACCAGGTGCTTTCGCCTTCTGTTACACGTGGGTTGTGGGCTAGACCCAGGCTTGTATCGCACAAGGCTTCCTGTGCGACAACGATGGACAAGGGGATCTGTTTGACAAGGTTTTATGTGAGACAAGAGACAACAGGTTGTGTTCCGATTCAAGGACGGCGTTGCGTGATTTGAGTTGGCTAGGTTTGGCCCATATGTACATATACATATACATATATATATATATATATATATATATATTACTGGCATGCATGTATGACTAGGTATGTAGGTAGCTACGTCTGCATGCATGCATGCCTGCAGGTTTCTCATTTATGTGTATGCATGTATGCATATATGAACGTGTGTTTGGGAAGCCAGACTTGACAACTGCACCCGAGTGGCATGTTAGAACAGCATAGGTTCGAACGTACTGAGATTTAATACAGATTGTGCAATCTTTTTTCAGCACGTTTTTTCGGGTCTTCTTCGATGCTAAGCATGGCACGTAAACGGGAACATCGAAAGTGCAAGTATCGCATTTTGCAAAGTTTAGTATTGTTGTTCTTCACGGTCCAATACTCTTTATACTCTATTATACGGGTATATTGCCCCTGATGTTGCGAAACACCTCAGGCAAGAGTTTCCAGCATGTAAGTCTAGAGTACACTCGCGATACGCACAGTTTGGTCCTACACAGCGCTCACGACAGTCCTAATGAACCGCTAAACCGCAAAATCTTAGCAGTATTTAGGGCCTGAACCAAGCATGTAAACAAAACCCAAACCCCAAACCCCAGAACATAAGCTCACCCTAAACCCTAACCCCCTTTCAAAGAAGCAAAATCTCAACCCCTTCCAGCTGTTCAGAAGTCTCCAACCACCCCCCAAAAGGCCCGAGACTTTGCAGCCCCAAGCGTAAACCCTGAGCCACGCACCCATTTTAGGGTTTAGGGGTTGCTATAGTCTTGTTAGGATTTTTTTGTTAATTTTTGTGCCATATAATCCAAGAGAAGATTAACCATACGATTTTTATTATGGGGGGTATAGGTTGCGGCTTCAGGGTTTAGTGTCCAAGTACCTCCACAATGCTGAAGCCTCACCCCTGAACTTCATACCCGAAGCCTTGAAGCCCTCTGCATCCCCACCAGCCCGAACCCCAAATTCCGGTTTAGGGTTTAGGGTTTAAGGAGTTTAGGGTTTAGGGTCTAAGGAGTTTAGGGTTTAGAGTTTAGGGTTCAGGGTTTAGGGTTTCAGAACATCACGGTTCGAATCGCGCACTCCCAAGCCCTTTGGATCACATACAAGAGTTGCATAAGAGCTGGACACACCTGGTACACCTGTTCAGGATGTATTTCGAGTTGTCCTAGGACCTACATACAACGCTTAGAGAGCCATATCGAGCCACACTGACCTCCACTAAGCTCTAAGCCCTAAGACCTAAAGCCCTGCCCCTAAACCCAAAGCCAAAACCCTGACCCCTAAACCCCATATCCCACACCTTAAACCCCAACAAAAACCATAAAGAACCCATCTAGACCCTCAACCCCAAACCCTAAGCCACTAAACCCCATCAAGAAGCATCAATAACCCCTCTACACCCTAAACCCGAAGAGAACCACAACCCCTAACCCCTAAACCCTGAACCGAAGAGCCCCTGTACCTGCAGGTGGAAAAGAGCCCACAAAAAGAAAACCTAAACCGAAGAGCCCCTCTTTTCTAAAGGCCACCGTCTGTGTTTTTTGGCCTTCAAGACCAGGCCGCAGCTTGCGACGATCTGTACCACCGGGCCATGGGTGCCTCTGGGGCTTTGCTGTTACGGTTTAGGGTATAGGGTTTAAGGTTTAGGATTTAGGGTTTAGGGTTTAGGGTTGTAACGCAAATTTTCTGGTTTGTACGTTGATTTCTTTATCTTCATCGCTACTAGTAGTACTATCAGGATGCATATTGGTATATCTGTTAGAATAACTGACCGTATTGTTATTAGGAGTGTTTCAACTATCGCTAGTCGTATTTTGACTATCATTGTTAGTATGATGATTATTTTCTCCATTGCTGTTGTAGTTGTTGATGTCGTCGTTGTCCTTGTTCTTGTGTTGGCTCTTCTGCTTCTCCTTCTTCCCTGTTTGTTCTTCTTGGGCCAGTCTTGGTCTTAGTCTTAGTCTTGTCTTAGTCTTAGCCTTAATATTGTTAGTGTGATTGTTTTTATCCTTCTTATTATTACGACTCTTGTTATTACTGTTATTGTTATTGCTCTGTTTTATACTGATAATCTATTATCATTATCATAGTATTGTTCTTGTTATTATTCTGGCTGTTCGCATTGTTCTTGTTGGGAGTATTTTCTAGCGGTTTCCCATCATCAGCCTTTGCAATATGATAAGAACTTCAGGTATTCATGCCATTTACTGTTTTGTGGTGTGGGAGGCTGGCTTTAGTGGGTCAGGTTGGGTACTGCCCCCATTCTGAGGTTTAGGGTTGAGGGTTTAGGCCGGTTTAGGCTTGATTCTGGTGAGATAATATTTGTGTCCCAACATGGACTGTTTGAGGGGGGGCCAGTGCGGGCAGTACCCAAGGTCTAGGGTTTACCTGTCTGTTGTCTTCTGGGTTCACAGGGGTGCATGAAGTTTGGGACTTGGCGTTTCCAAGGGGTCCATCTTAAATGACGGCGATCGGCATCGGAGGCCCTAAACCCTAAACCCCCTACACCCTAGTGCTAGTTCTGGTCTGTGGTTACTTGCGGGTTTGCGGCTTTGGCGTTTGGGGTTGGCGAACGAAGCAACGAAGTATTTCAAGAAAACGGGATGACATACAGAACGAAAGAAAGAACGAACGAAAGAAGGAAGAACGACCAAGCCAAAGAGAGACCCTAAACCCGAAGCCCTACACCATGGACTTCTCCAATAGCTTGACGCAGCACAAAGCCCTTCAAACAGGAATTCCCGGCAAACACCTGAAGCTCACGCTAAACCCTGCCCACGCTCGGTGGACCTGACCCCTCAACAGGGGCTTCATGATTTTAAGGTGTTCGGGTGTTGAAGGCTTTCGGGGATTCGGAGTTTTGCGGTTCTTGGAATTGGAAATGCGGAACCAAAGGCACAAGCCTGGCAGCCAGGTTGCATGCAGGGCATGGCCGTGGGTGATTCGCTGGGGCCGATCGCGCCGAGTTTCCTTCGTAAGCTTCAGGGATGTGGTTGATGATCTAAATCCTGCATTACCTTAAAGACCCTAAACGATGGGAATTATGGTATAGTCCTTATTGTGGGTAATGCAGGATTTCTTTCATCAACCGTGGTTCAGGTCTGCAACCCAGTAGGGTTTCGGGGTTGATGGTCACCTGAGCCCCCAATAGGCTACCTTTTCAGGATTTATATAGAAGGAATTCATTTAATAAGAAATCCTGAAGAGGTAGGTTCATTAGGAGTCCTGATAGGGTTTAGTCTTTAGGGCGCAGCGGGTCAATAGCGGGTGTAGGGCTGAGCTTCAGGATTAAAGGCGCCCTTCACTACCCCAAGAACGAGGGCTTCAAGGGTTTTTGGGGAAGGAGGGCCCTTAAACCCTAAAACTTAAACCCTAAACCCCTAAACCCCCAAACCCCTAAACCCCTAAACCCCTAAACTCCTAAACTCCTGAACCCCTAAACCCCTAAACCCTAAACCCTGAACCCCTAAACCCCTAAACCCTAAATCCTGAACCCCTAAACCCTAAACCGGGTATTAAGATCTTGGTCAGGGCTCGGTTTCATTCATCCCGGCCTCCCTGCATCTCATCAGTTGGTGGACACGTATAAAGTAGGGTTTACATCCAGTAGTTGGGTTTAGCGTTTAAGTCCTTTGCGAAAGATGGTGTGAGTCATTTTTTGGTTCTTCGTTTGTGCGGACTAGTCAGAACAACCCTACAGTGCCCTACGTATCTCAATCCTAGACTTTTATAAGATCAGTAGAAGCAGTTGGGACAGCAAAGTTCTAGTCATGCAGCACTACGATTTCCTCAGGCCTAGGCATGGCAGGAGAGAAAGCGGCTTCTTTTCTGAGATCCCAGAGACTCCAAATATCCATTACTTAAGGAATACTACCTTAAAGTATAGTAGGATCCCTAATAGGATTTAAGATCTATTCCTTAATTAAGAGCTATTGGAGTCTCCGGGCTGATTCAGGGTTCCGTGAAAGATTGCAGGCGGTGTTATTCGTTTTTGTAAGTTTTAGTGTTAATCGGTTTTTGTAAAGGGTTCAGATGGGTTGAGTGCTTGTTTTTGCTAGGTTATTGTGCAGGTTTTGTAAAAAATGGGGTTGTGTGTAGACGCCTTAGTAGCGCACCCCTTGCTCCAAATGTTGTAAATATAAGGTCTGTAGCCTAAGTTCTGAATGCAAGCCCGTAATGATCCCTTTGTGTTTGTCCGACATACCCCGAAAGCTTTTTCTAATGATCCAGGGCCCAGACACTAGACCTTCTCACATGCTTATCGCAACCCTGCATTGACCCTTGAGGCCCCTACAGTCCACCTCAAGTCCAAGCTTCTGAATCACCAAACCTAAAGCCTAAATGCTGCAGACATATCAATGCAAGCCCTGCCAAAACGCTACAAAATCCACTATCCGGCCGTGGAAAATTTTGTTCTGATCAGGAAAGCTCAGATTCGTGGCTTTCCAGTCTCCCACCATACCCTTTGAACCCTAAACCCTAAACCCTAAACCCTAAACCCTAAACCCTAAACCCTAAACCCTAAACCCTAAACCCTAAACCCTAAACCCTAAACCCTAAACCCTAAACCCGCCAGGCATCCTTTTGAGTTCCTGCCGGTGCAAGCCGCGAGCTGAGTTAGGGAAATGGCACTTTTTTGGGGGACCTGGCTTTCCGAATCCTGGTGAATCCCTGTTTGGAGCCCCGATGTGAACCTTAAAGTTCCGCAGCAAATCCCTTCTCGACCCCGTCTTAGACCCTGCAAGCTCCGCACAAACTTCGGTAAACTCCCAGAACTACATCCTGAACCCTTGACTAACCCGGATTCAGCCCCGAAAAATACCCTTACAGAGCCTCGGTAAACGCCCTCTCGAACCCGTCAAAACCCGTATAGAATCGTTATAGACCGTTTAGGGTTTAGGGTTTTGGGTCTAGAACCGTTGAAGCACCCTGAAAGAGCCCTTCAAAGACTCTTGAAGCTCAACCGTACCGCCCCCACTCTGTGACAGTGGATAATATTTGAGAACAAACACATTTATATCAGTATAAATTTCAATATAGACATTAATCTGAATATGAATAGAAATAAACAATATGCTATAAGTACACAAATAAATAAGCAAAGAAATCACACAAATACATAAATAAGTAAACAAATACGTACACAAAAACATATCTAGAGCCTTTGAGATGGCCCCGAATATAGACTGTTACAGGCTGAGGGGGCAGTACCCAAGCTAAACCCCTTCAAGCGCCCGCGAAACGGTTGATGATATAAATCCTGCATTACCTTAAGGAACCCAATCTTTGGGAATTATGGTATATTCCTTATTATGGGTAATGCAGGATTTATATCATCAGCTAACCTTAAGCCCTATAGACTCCTTAAAGGAACCCCCTTAGAGGTACCCTTATAGATTGGTTCAAAGGAACCCCTATAGTATATCAACAGTACCCTTTATACTGTCACCCTTTATATCATCAACAGAAGGACCGGCCTGTCGGCCCGCACTTCGACTTCGAACGATTTGAATTCGTTGGCGCGTCGGGGGCCACAGCGGTTTCTTGTGCCGGGCTTAGGGACTTTAGGGTTTAGGGTTTGGGGTTTAGGGTTTAGGCTTTGGGGTTTAGGGTTTAGGGGGGGTTTGGGGGTTTGGGGTCTAGGCTTTGGCTACGGGTTGTTGTTTTTCATTCCGAACTGGGGGAAGGGGCGGGGGAGGTTTGGGTTTCAAGTTTGGTTTGGGGTTGTCGCTTTAGTGTTCAGGATGCCTGATTTAGGTTTCAGGGTTTCGGTTTCAGTTTCGGGTGGAATGGTGCTTGAAGGGTAACTTAAATTAAGGGTTTGCAAGGCGGCAGTGGGTAAAGGTTCGAGAAATTAGGGGCTTTCTGGGGTTGATGGTGGCATGCTTAACCCTAAACCCTAAACCCTAAACCCTAAACCCTAAACCCCTAAACCCTAAACCCTAAACCCTAAACCCCTAAACCCCTAAACCCTAAACCCTAAACCCTAACCCCTAAACCCTAAACCCTGAGGGTTTCGTGGGTTTCCAGAGCTTTGGAGTGGCAGGCTTTAGAGTCTTGCACAGAACCCGAACTTCAAAGCCTGCAGCCATAGCTAAAGCCCTGAACCCTGAAAGAACCGACCTCTGCGAGTTCTGCGACTGTTGGGAGGTTCTAGTCTCACTAAGTTGAGGGCAAAATGCCAGCGCTACTTTGGAGAAAGGGTGCATTTCAATTTTAAAGAAAAAAACTGCAACCTCGAAGGCGCAATTAAATCAGCTTAACCCTGCAGCCTTAGCTGGATCCCAACCCTGACCCTGACAACTTAAGCTTCAAGCATAAAGCCGTGACTAAATGAAAATGAACCCTTTATATACCTATAGATTAGAAGCTGCCCACACCCTGTAATACTGTAGTGACTATAAGGATTATGTTAGGGCCCTTTTATATTCCTATTATACCACTATTACAGGGTGGGGGTCCCCTCTAACCAAAACCTACAAAAAAGTAGGGTCCCCATAAATTCCATATTGGGGTTTATAATAGGAACCTACCAACAAGTCGATTGTGGTAGCTTAAGGTACCTATAGATGGCCTCAGCAGCCAGGTCGAACACTTTTCGCCTGAAGCCTGGGCAGTGGACAGACGATGCTGCCGTGCTCTGAGTATGGCTCACAAACAAGGTGTACTTGGAGGGTCGGGGGACTTAGCAGCTGGTTATTTTAGGGACTTATAAGTACCATAACCCCAATTAGGGTCCCGTTTAGGGTACTTATAAGTCTGTCCCCCGACCCTCAAAGTAGGGTCTAGGAAGTTCAATGTTTCGGGTTTAACCTAAGTAGTGAGGGTTTTTCAGGGTTCCGGTGCTGGGGCTTCATTGCAGACGTTACACGAGTAAAGTAGGGATCCGGATATTGAGGCCCGTAAAGACAGGGGATTGATGAATAAGTTTATCATGAGGTGTAGGGTAAATCCTAAACCCCAAACCCTAAACCACACCGCGCCCAGACATTTGGCCGCACACACGCTCTTTACTTATTCATGACTTTTTGCAAAACTTATCCCAACATAAACCTTTAAAGCCGGGCGTTATCATGGTTGGCCTGTCGATGCTCTGCGAGAGTGGATGGGGTCAGGGCGCACGTTTCCATGGTCGGCCAAAACATTCATGCCGAGGGCGCAGGAGACGATTGTCCTGGAAAACGCTGTCGTCAGGCTAAACCCTACGGTTGATATAAATCCTGCATAACCTTAAGGACCCTAGACTATGGGAATTGTGGTATATTCCTTTTTGTGGGTAATGCAGGATTAATATCATCAACAGTATCATGAAGGCTTTTGTTTTGGGGTCTGGGGGCTTGAGAGGCAAAAGGTTCAGGTTTAAGGTTTGCGGCTTTAGGTTTAGGGCTCCCCGGTAGCAATACGTTAAATCTTGAGAGCACGGAGAAATTCTTTAGGACCTTGGTCCTGCATTCAAACGAAACGGCACCGCATCTCCAGCAAAGCCCCGGTGCCCTGGATTCAAACCGCTCCCTACATCACAGATCTGGATCGAAAAGGCCGATTGGACCTACTATAGGGGTCTTAATATTTACCTATAGTATTTTGGTGGTTCCTTATTGTAGTTAAGTATATTATTCCACCAAACCCTATTCTAATCATTATGGCCCATATAGTACCGGTAAAGTTCAAACCTCACACGAAATTGCAAACCTGACACCCTGAATGCCGGAGCCGAAACCTCATACCCACATCCGGGCCATGAGAAACAATCAACCCAAGCGCCCCGCTCTCTACCTCGAATTTGCCTCGAATCCTGAAATTGAAACCTCCTCTGCACATCGAGTGTCTCTAGACCTTGACAAGCAAATCCGCGGGCCAGAATAGCCAAACTTCTAAGGCCATGGGCCTTTGCATGGCCGACTCCCTGCTGATGAGGTCACGAGAGGGCGGGTGGGCCTGTGTCGGGCTGGGTCAGTTAGGTTTGAGGGGCGGCTTGGGGGCCAGGGACGGCTCTAGTTTAGGGTTTGAGGGTTGGGGGCTCTTTTGCATTTTGTTATGACAACAAGGCAGCTCGCCTGGCTTCGCAGCAAAACCTTGTCATTCTTCTCATTAGTCCTTACTTTAACCCGCCGACCCATACTCTTGCCACACGTGCTGATACTGCTTTAGTTGTCCATTCGTCCTGTTTTGTGACGTTGCCCTTCGCCCCGGCTCGTCACTGTTGAGCCCGCCATACGTGCCGACGTTGTCGTCCGCCATACGCGCCGAATAATTTTTAGCTAGTGCAATCAGCTCAACGCAGCTGGTGTGCGGTCATATGCGATCTATCTCAGAGGTTTTATGCAATCATACTTTCTGGTAGGTTCTTACTATAAGCCTTGCAAAAAAGTAGGGTTTGGTAGGTTAGTCCTTATGCTATATCTCGAAACTGCTTCTTGGGACCCCTCGGTCAGCTTCAACCTGGGCTCTCCCATTGCAATGTCCTGAAACCAACCCAAACCCGAAAATTTTAGGGTTTAGGGTTTAGGGTTTAGGGTGAAAACCCTGCCGAACCACCACACCCAAACCGCCAAATCCCGCAGCCCCAACAGCGAAGACACAGAAACCCGAGCTCCAAGTCCCCTAGAACCCCAGAACCCAAACCAGCATGTAAACTCCAAAACACAAAGCTTCCAGGCGCGAATTCGATGGGAGTGACATGAGGCCAGGCGGTTTTGCGTGTTTGTTATTGGGGAGATCGAAGATCGACCCAAATCCTACATCCAAAACTTCCTTCTGTCACGTTCAGGTACTTAGAGTCCCCTAAACCCCTAAACCCTATCCCTAAACACCCTAAACCCCTAACCCCTAACCCGTAAACCCTGAACTCTAACCCTAAACCTTGAACTCCTAAACCCTAAACTCCTGGAGCCACGAATCTTGACTCTCTGAATGGGCCTTGAGGGGATGCTCAGTGACCCTCGGATCGTTTAAAACATGATAAAGGGATGACTGACATGTATATAATTATATATATATATATATATGTATAATACCGTCTACCGCACTGTACTATATGATGCTACCCTAATGCTCCTGAACCCTCGTAGTGAGATCCCAAACCTTAGCCCCCAAAGCCCTCCCCCGGAGATCCCATGACCCTCTTAGGAGCCTAAAGGGTATACTATAGTGTTTTAGTGAAATACAACCAGAGAGGGCCGGATGTAAGCCACGGAATCCTGAAATCTCTTTGGCACCAGAAACAGAAGGATCTAAACCCTAAGCCCTAGGCGTAAAACCGTAAACCCCTATAAACCCTAAGCCCTATTATAGATCCCTTATAGCTCCTTTTAAGAACCCTTACAAAAGAACCTCTTTCATGCCCTTTAAGGAACCCTAAACCCCGCTTGGCATGAGAAACCCGGGACTCAAAACTTCTTCCAAAAAGCCCAAGCGGCCAAAGCCTTGAAAGGGTTTCGGGGTTTCTTTAGTCAAAGGGGAAAAGGAGGGACCCTTAATGGGGACCCCTACTCCACAATGGGGCTATATAATGGGTATATCATAGCTGTATTAAGGGTATATGCCTAAGCATCCTTACTAAGGGTCCCTCCTTTTACCCTTGGATTTTAAAGTTGTGATAGGGTTCTTTTGAGGTTTCGTTAAGGGGGCAACAACGGATCTATCATCGGGTTTAGGGTCTTAAGGTTTTGGGGTTTCAGGCTTTCAGGGATTGGGGATTTGAGGGTTAGGGCCAGGGTTTTCGGGTTTTGGGGTTTCAGGGACATTTTAGGGATCTAGGATTTCCAACAAACAAACCTGGGAGTTGGGTTGCATCTTCGAAGAGCTTTCTCCCACGGTATACTGTAGGGGCCGTAATAATTCCCTATAATTGGAGTATAATGGGCCCCGGCACCATATTCTAATTATGAAGGCCCCTACATCACACGACTAAGCGGCGGGGGCTCTTACAGAACAGTCCCGGTGGCCTAAACAAAAGCTGCAAGCCGGCTGGAATGTCATGACAGTGAAGCCAAGGAACGACTTCGAACGGGTGGGTGGGGGTTGGCAGGCGAAAGGGGGCTTTATAGGGTTCTACTTTAACTCTGGATAACCTACCTTTTTAGGGTTCCCTATTAAGATTTCCTTATATAAGGGTGGGGGGGGGGAATTTGGGGTTTGGGGTTGCAGCGACAGATAAGGAAGTCAGGATTCCAGCACCCAGAACCATGTCAAGGCCTGTCCCAGAGACTCCAATATCCCTTGATTGAGGAATATTTCTTAACTCATATAAGGGATCCTACGATAGTTTAAGGTATATTCCCTAAGTAAGGGATATTGGAGTCTCTGGGGTCTAAGCCCCACACCCAAAACCCAAGAGCGACAGTCCCTTCAAGTCTCGGGTTCTCAATCTCAGTACCAAGCTACGGGAACGTGTATACCGAGAACCGAAACCAGAGCCCGCCAAAATTGGCAGGATTCGTTTCTGGTGTTGGTGGAACCGCGGCTACAACAACGCTTTCCGAAAGGACTTCTGGTCAGTGGCTTCCTGTAAGGGTCCCGAAAAGGGATCTAATCAGAGATCTTTCTTTCTTCTTGACCTATGAAGCATGCTCTTCGCTGACTTGCACCGTACGTTCATCAAAGGGTTACTGTACAACAAGGCTATACCCTAAACCCTAAACCCTAATGATTCAACTCCAAGTCCAAGTTACGCAAAGCTTTGCCGGGCGCTATGAACTTGGTCCGGAGCCACTTAGTTATAAGGGGTTTATAAGTCCCCTAATATGGGTTTTTAAAGTTACCCTACTTATAACCCTAATTATAGCTACCCGTGAACCTCCGAGCATGCCTGGCATGGAAGTCTTCGGGGTGATGCCCCCTACGTTAGGTGAGTTTTCAACTACTGCCAAAGAGCGAACCGAGCAGCGAAACTGTACATCCCAAGCAGTGGCCCCTTATGCATGTAAATGTTTCAAGAGGCACGTAGATGCACGCACGTCTAGGCTGAAACAGGCATCCTTGCAGCCCATATTGCTTGCTTCCAGTTTTGTGCTGAATCCAGCTTGTGAAGCATGACATGGCCTAAAGAGCACGACCAGTGAACATACAAGTCGACAACTAACACTGTCGACATTCGGCCATGTAGTGCAACCCCGTTTGAGGGTGGAACAGACTGCACAAAGTCGCGAGGCAACGACAAGCTTGCAAACCACGAAGCTGACATTGTAGAGGTCCAGGGTTTCGGACATATTGTAGGAGCCTTGTCGGGTTCGAAAGTTGTTGTTTTTGTCATGTTCCTTCTTCGGGGAGGACGGTAAGCATGAGCGTGTGGGAATTAGGGTTGGGGGTTAAGGGGGATGTAAGGGGGTCCTTTCTCACTGATACCTGGAACCCGAATATCTTTATATCATCGAGCCCTTGGATCATTTTTTTCAAAGAGCCCCTATAGAATCCTGTCCAAACAGCGTACTCTGATCAACAAGCCTGAGAAGCGGAATCCAACTCTCACCGGAAGGATCCGACGCGGAGTGGCTCGGTAGGCCATTTGCACTTGGGGCTTTCCAGGATGCTTTGGGGGCTACGTTCTTGCAGCTGCTTCGACATTTTGCTAACTATAAAATCGTGACGCCGCCACCGCGAGGCGCATGTGTTGGATGCGACTCATCCCGTCACAATCTCGACTGGTTCCCCAACCCACAAAAGGTGTGCTGTGCTGCGATGCTGTGCGTGTTTTTGGATGCGACTTCGTTTTTCCGCCTGTCCAAATCGTGCTCCCGCCGCAATCCTGCCTCCCAGAGTCGTGCTCCGCTCCCACCACAGTGCCCCGCCACAGTGCCGTGTCTAAAATCGTGCTGCTCATGCATTGCGCTAACGGCTAGACTTCTAGGTCCTCTTGCACTGTTTAAGGTGTACGCTCGTGCAAGCAGGGCTACTGTGGGGGCGCTGATTCCTTCTAAACCTGTCGGATTCATGACTTATGGCATACATTATTATTACGTTTGTTTGATTGTGTTTGTGCGAGACGGGTTTGGCAGCGATGTGTGGCTAGTTAGACTGTTCGAGTCAAGGCGTCGACCCTTCAGGCTTAAGCCCGGAAGCTTAAAATGGTCGCGAGAAAGTATGTACTTGAAGATCACACGAAAATATCAGAGCTGCTGTTGTGTGGGGTTGGGCCATTGCACCCGCGGTGCTATTTTGTGGAGGAAGATCCCTAAACTCTAAACCCTAAACCCCAAACCCTAAACCCCTAAACCATAAAGGCACTGGTTCCACTGGAAGAGGAGCCTGAGCCCAAAAACCTGAGCAGCAAAGGGTGCTCTAGGCCCCTCTGCTATGGAATATGTTGGGTTCTTGTTGAGGGATCTACTCAGCTACCATACAAGGATCTATGGTAAATAATATGGTTTTATTATTAGTTTCCTTAACAAGAAACCAGTATTGAGGAGTTTCAGTTTCCGCGTGTACTTGAAGCCTTTATACATAGGAACTGCCACAAGATGGAATTTACAACGGAAGGTGTTCATGGGGCTTCTTGCAGCAGGATCCAAACACTTTCGTGAGGAGCTGTATCTGGAGAATGCAGGCTACAATATGGGAGTTTCCGAAAATTAGGGGTACCTTGTTTTGGGGTCCTTGTAATGAGGATCCTACTACTTAGAGTACTACATATGTTAGTGTCCCCTATGTTCGGAAACTCCCATATGAGGGCTGTTCAGCTTCATAGTAAGCTACCCCGGCCACAATCCTGCGCTCATGTGGGCGTTCTGCTCAGCATCCGTGCTCGACCGGCAACGGTCGGCACCACAGGGGCTCTTCGGAAGTGGATCCAAGAGAAACGCCATGAAAACTTGCTCGCCGTTAACTGTGAAAATCTGGAGGCACATGCGGCCAATGCGGAATGGCACTTGGAAGCGTGCAGGCCTGGATCCAGCACGAAGGCAATCGAGAATGCGCAAAGCAGCAGCAGCACGAAAAGGAGCCCGCATGCGACCCGTATTGTGCCAGATGGGGGTGCTACTGAACTACGCAGTTAGTCGTTGGCAGAGCGAAAGCAGCACGTGCCAAACAACACAACGTCCGGCCGGCCATTGGGCCACCCGTTCGAGTGCCACATAACAGAGTGAACTCGCACAGACTTCAGCTTCTAAGGTGATGGCTTAAACTCTAAACCCCATGGTAGGTTTAAATACGCAAGCCTTGACGAGCACCGGAGTTCAGGGTCATGCCATTCTTATTTCAGACTACCAAACGGATAAAATCGCGCCATAATGAATTGAATAAGGTCTTAGGCCATTATCTCAGGACTGTGACCATTAGGAAGGAGATATTGCGACTAGACCTTCCCTAAGTTAAACCCGACACCCTCACCCTTCATTGCAGAGTTTTGGAGTTTCTGCCCAAACCCTAAGCCCTAAACCCTAAAGCACCAAGAGGCCTGGGTGGCAACATCGCCAAGTCTTTGACCGCCGCTCGACCTGGCAATTGAAAGGGCCTTCAACCGTAAATCTTTTGGCTTGAGGGTTCGATTTCGGGATTTAGTGTAGGGTCCGGGGGGCTTCAGCCGTAAATCTTTAAAAGTTGGGGTTCGGGCTTCGATTTCGGGATTCAGTGTAGGGTCCAGGGGGGTTGGAGCCTTGTTTGAGGGTTCCAGGGTTTCCATGCCACTGTTGTCCTTTGTTGTTGTGGTCCCCTAATAAAGACTAGACAGATCGGTTAAGGTACCTTCTTTAATTCAGGGCTTCTTATTCAGGGACTAGGGTAAAGGGCCCTGTCTATTTCCCTAAAAAGGACAAGGCCGTGGATTCCATGCAGGGTGATCAGGTTCCGTTTGCTGAAGTTTCCCATGAGCGTGCAGTCGGATTAGTGTCGTAGTAGGGGTTTCCTTAAGCTACCATAACCGACTTTTTTGTAGGTTCCTATTATATATAAACCCCAATATGGAACTTATAGGGACCCTACTTTTTTGTAGGTTTTGGTAGGTTAAGATTGGGTTTGGGGAGTCGAAACCCAAAAGACCAATGCCCCCGGTCGTCGATGCTGCTTCGGCTATGGAACAAACGAGGAACGGGCATCAGCTTTGTGGCAGCTGCATACCCCTCCGCAGCGCTATGCAGCAGCTGAATTTCAATTGAATCCACCCCTGCGGCATCGAGGCTGCGGCCACCGAAACCGCACGAAAACAGGGCAGACCTTGATCAAGCCCTGGCATTCCACCGGCTTTTGGAAGAGGTGGCTTGCAAAATGGGAGTTTCCGAAAATAGGGGGACCCTAACATAGTAATTATACTCTAAATAGCAGGATCCTTATCATAAGGACCCCCCAAAAAGGTACCCCTCATTTTCCGAAACTCCCAAACGAGCGAGGGGATGGCAGTGATGCAGGCCGGGCCGGCGGATAAGCCCCGCATCCGGAACGTGAACGCCCAAACGCCAAGAATCCTGAACTCTGATGCCTAAACCCCCAAACTCAACACGAAACCACAAGCCCTCAACCAAAAATCTAAAGTTCGCGTTCAGCATGTAGAATGAGAAATCAGTATATAATTAACGCCGGACATCATAAGCTTTTATAAGAAGAGGCAAGCACTCATGTTTCGGGCTTGAGCTCGTTCCGGGCGTAGAGTTTTTGGCAAATTTGAGTTTACGAAAATCAGGGGGTACCAAGTTTTGGTGTCCTTACACTAAGGATCCTACTATTTAGGGTACTAGATTTCGGAAACTCCCAAATATGTTCCTGCAAAACCGTAGAAACTTCAAAACCGTAGAAACTTCAATCCGGCAGCCAGCATGTTCACAGACTCCACCGAAGACCATGTTGAATCCATGTTGAATCTCTTAACTCTGGGGTTGGGATTTACGGTTCAGGAATTGTGAAGTCCTATACATTACAGTACAATGTCAGTTCTTATGATTAAGGCGTTGAGAACTCCCGAACTCCTCATAGAGCCATGAAGGGGTCCCTTTTGTAGAAAACCTGTCTTACCTATTGAGTCTTGAGTGACCTGTGGCCAAAGTTTAGTTTTTTCAGAGAATCCAACATCCTGAGTTCGGGGTCCTCATGTGGCGAGTTTGAAAACCCTATATAAACCCTAAACCCTAAACCCTAAACCCTAAATCCTAAACCCTAAACCCTAAACCCTAAATCCTAAACCCTAAACCCTAAACCTCTAAACCCTAAACCCTAAACCCTACACTCCTAAACCCTAAACCCTAAACCCCTAAACCCTGAACCCTACACTCCTAAACCCTAAACCCTAAACCCCTAAACCCTAAACCCTAAATCCTACTCGAAACCCACAAACCCTCGAGCATCGGGCCTGAATGCATCGCCAGGCCCCGAAGCCTGGATCCCACCTACGCCCAGGTTTACAGTAAGCCCCATAAAGTTGGAAACCGGATAAAGGTCGAATAGTGCTGGGATTCCTTTTGAATTACTCTGAAGGATTGAGGCTATTGGGTTTCCAACTTTTGGGCTTCTACTGTAGGGTTTAGACCCAAAATTCCCGATCTCCAAGCCCCTGACTCAGAATCCTAAACCCCAAAACCAACAATCCTTAAAACCCTTAAACCCAAAACCATAAACCCTACATTCCCTTTAAAGGAACCCTTATAGGAAAATCCTAAACCCCAAACCAAAAATCCTTACAACCCTTAAACCCCCGAAACCCTAAACCCTTATACGTCCTGAGCCGTGTCCAGGAGATCTCCTACCTGCTTCCCGAGGAGACGCCTAGCCCGGTTCTGCCGCCAAGCCGTCTCGCGTTGGTCATAAGACAGGGCTTCTTGAGGGGCTCTCGTCACAATGATGATGGGGTGTGGGGATATACCTTAAGGGCCTAAATGGTCACCAATCTTTTTCCTGGGGTTCTTTTTATAGTTATAGTATAATATGCCCCAAAACCTATTCTGATGATTGTAGAGTCTTCGGGGCCTGCAAGGGTCATGCATATAGGGTTCGTGAAAGGGGTATTTCTAAGGGTTCTTTGAGAAGGGTTCTCCGAGGGGTCTTTAGGGTTCGTGGTTGGAATAGAGTTTGTGGCTGTGGGGTATACTTTTGTAAGATTGCAGCAAAAAATTCTGAGGCAGAATATTGGTACTCATTCCTGTATATTGTGCCGCTCAAAGCTGGCAACACTGAACCCTACACCGCAGGTGGCGTAGTCCTTGGAGTTCTCCACTTAAATTGAACAGTAAAGGCGAAACCCCAAACCGTAAACCCTAAACACCCTAACCCTAAACCCCAAGCCCGAAATCCTAAACCCTAAACCCCCAAATCCGAAATCTTGAGCCCAAACCGAAGCAGATCTCCCGGCCGAGGCCTACAAAGCAGCAACGGAAGATGCAGGCGTCGCGTGAGATTTTTTGGTTGCTTGAGGGCTGCGAAGGTTCCTTAAAGGGATCCTTAAAGGGTTCTACAAAGGGGGTCCTTAAAGAGTTTGATGAAGGGATCCTGAAAGGGTTCTGCAAAGGGATCCTTACAGGGTTCTATAAAGGGATCCTTAAAGGGTTCTATGAAGGGATCCTTAAGGGATCCTTAAAGAGTTCTATAAAGGGATCCTTAAAGGGTTCCATAAGGGATCTATGCGGGTTTCCCCAATAGTACCCTCTTGCCCGATTCAGTTTAATGCTTGTGTAGTTCTTCGGGTTTAGGGTTCACAATGTAAAAAATTCAACCTAAAATATGCTACAAAACCTTATTCCAGTTCCTGAGGCCCCTCTATCGAACCCTTATAGTAATCCTTCACTTGGAGGGTCGGGGGACTTAGTAAGTAGGTAGTAAGTAGACTTATAAGTACCCGAAAGGGACCCTAATTGGGGTTATGGTACTTATAAGTCCCTAAAATAACCAGGTACTAAGTCCCCTAAACCCTAAACCCTAAACCCTTACAGAATCCCCTATAGATCCCTTTAAAGGGGCCCTTAAGGAACCCTGTTGAAGGTGTTCACCCTGGGTGGCCATACCCTGCAGCGAAGCTCACGCAGAATGTTTTCTATGGCTGGGCGCAGAGGCGACTCACGATCTCAACGAAGCAACAAGAGAACCGACAAACCAACAAACGACCTGTACAGCTTTACAAGTTGTTGGTTACAGTACACATGGCTCAAGAGGCTTTCCTACGCAGCCTTCCCCTAAGCCAAAGGATACAGGAAACACACATGTACAAGCCTACCTGAAGGAAACTATACAAGTGCCGGCAATCCCTTCAAGCAGACTACACACCTGTCTAACCTGATACCTGGGCATGCAGTGAGAAGCATTTCAACACTCCTCCTTGCTAGAGCCGACAGGCAACTAGCACACGCTGCACTATTTACAGCATGCCCGTTCCTGGGACCTCTAGCCTTGAACCTTGGCTTGCCTTTAGAGACCTGTGCGGTGGCGGTCTCTGCAAACACGGCACAAGTTGCGGGTAGTTAAGGGTGTATTACGCCTTAAACCCCAACAATTAGAATCTAGATGAACACAATCCCCGTGCGCAGTGAAGTAAAAGGGACCTTGGGGAAGTTCATACTGCGTGCGGATTTCGATCCTGGCAGGCATCGGATCTGGTGGGACTCCTGTGACTGGTTGGAAAGCAGGCTCACGATCCGTTTGAGTAGACTGCTCACGCACTGCAGGGCGGCGACGAGACTGTGTGGCCTTGGGCCGTGGTGCAGCAGGCAACTCGTGGGAGGACTGCGAAGGCACAGGTGCCCTCTCGTTGTGAGCTGTGGACTCACCTGCTGGTGGTCTGGAAGACACGTCCTCAAGACTCATGCCCTGCAGTTGGGCAGCAAGCTCATCCTCAACAGCTCTCTGCATACGCCTCAAACGACGGGCTCGACGAGACGACGCATGCGAACCAGCCCACCACGCATCAAGCCGATCCCACAATCTCTTCAACCACTCCCACACAACAAGGACACAAACCAATGCCATGCCAAGAACGAAGTACAGCTCCAGGGATCCATCAAGCTGCAAGCCAGGATACTCGGATTCACGGCTTGAGCTTCGTGCAGGTTGGATTTGAAGCAAACACAACAAGGCACTCAACGCGACTGGGTCGACAGCTGCTGACGAGCTCGGCCTGACCTCTCGGTCGGCTGTATCACCCGCAAAGTCACGCATGCCCCATAACCTGACAAGCTCTTCAATCCTTGCAGACGGAAGAGGTTTGGTCAGTAGATCTGCAAGCTGTTCCACACCCGGGCAGAAGGCAAGCCTCAGCTTCCCAGAGCGAGTCTGCTCACGAAGGTACTCAGCTCTTACCCGTAGGTGTCGCGTTCTCCATGATCCATGACCGTCAGAAATCGCAAGTGACGCTTGGGAATCAACGTGCAAAACCCTTTCTTCCGCAACGTCAAAACCAACCGTGTGAAGCAACGCCTCAATTGATTCAAGCGCGATTGCACACTCAATCGAAGCAGTGAGTTCACTTTCAGCAGTAGAAAGTGTCACAAAAGCTTGACGCGCCGACCTCCAAGCAACTGGACATCCATGCACACACACGCACCAGCCTCCATGTGAGCGAAGGCCTTCTGGCGAGAAGCTTGCGTCACTCCAACCGTGAAGTTGGGTTCCGTCCGCCTCAAACACCAGCGACGCTGTCTTGGTTCGCTGCAAGTAAGCCAAGGCACGGTCAGCAATGCGTAGAGCACGACAAGGCGCCTTCGTAGACAAACTAGCAAGCAAGCTGGCAGTGAACGCCAGGTCCGGGCGAGTACGTTGAGACAACCACAGCAGTTCACCAGTCACCTGTTGCGCGCGGTGAACGGCCTCCCCGTCAGGGGGGCTGGAGTCTCCTTCGCCAACTTCAAACGACGCTAGCTCCCGAGGACAAGGGATTCTACCCCTCACGTGGCAAGGTACCTCATGAAGCCGCAAGACTTCTTCTGCGTACGACTGCTGTGAGAGAACAAACCCACGAGGAATGACAATGATGTCCACGCCAAGGAACTTGATCGGCTGCTCTGGGGTAGCTACCACAAACGGTGTTGTGGCCCACTTTTCTTGCAGAGCCTTTGCCAAACTTTGAAGGACACCTAGCGACCCACACAACAAGAAGTCATCAACGTACACCAACAATGCGCCCTCAACGCGACCACCTTCAACCCTGACGACTTTCCACCAGTTCGGGTCTAGGGTCGAAGGCTCAAGCCGGTAGGTCACGCCGTCAAGGTCCCACACCAACGCTGCCAAACAAGCATCTCGATACTGCCCCCACAAGCGCGGGGCCTCTCGAAGGCCGTAAACCGCGTGGGATAGTATCCACAGCTCATGTGCAACTGCAAGACCAAGCTTGACCAACAAGCGGGGCGGGGTCAACGCAAAGATGGGGAAACCTTCAAGACAAGGAATAGGCGTTTTGAGGAACGCGCTGGTGATATCCAACACTCCCAACAACCAACCAAAGAAGCTTGCCAGGGCAATCACTGTTCTCAAGCTCTCAGCCTGAGCACCTCCAGCATACACATCCAAGCCTGTATTTGGCGCCACATTTCCGCAAGCAACAAGTCTCGCTTTCCGACGGTACAAACTTTGGCCTTGCGACGAAGCCTTTGGAGCGCCCTGAAGGGCCTCTGTACTGTTGTCGGGCTGAGTGAGCGCAAGCTTCCCAGTGTCACCAACAGCTGCTGCCCCTTGGTCGGGCGGTTTCACTGTGAACACAAACTTGGAAGGTACCACCTGCAGTCGAGGATCACTCAAGTACTCGGCCTGCCTGGGGTCTGAAGGGCGCAGTCTGAGCACCGCATGCTCAATGGCCTTTACTTCTTTCTCAATGGACGGAATCCAAGGGATTGGATTGAGTGCGACTTCTGCGGGGTCTACAGTGTGAACGATTTGCAGAGGTGAGCTTAGATTGCTTAGAAGGTGTTCTATGTTCTTCGTGAACGTCGGTTCGGCTTTGCACAGGCGGTAGGGGATTACGGGTCTACCTTCGCTTACGAAACCCTCCTCCTCTAACGAGCTCCGCGAACCACTTTCTACAACCTTAAGCACCCTCAAACTGCAGTTGCTGGCGTTTGCGGCATCGCTCATGGGCTCCTGCGGAACATACATGTCCCAAGACACAGTAACCGGCCAGGCCTCATCAATCTCAACGGGTCTTTGGTTCTGCTCTGGTCCGGCCTCCTCTTTAGAGGGGCTGCATACAGGGGCAACTGGCCGATACGAACACGACCAGTTCACAGCGAAGTCTACAAACCCATCTGCAACTGGAAAGACCTCTTGCCAACCTCCACCTTTGTTGACGGGTTGGCTCTCCGGGAAGCTAGGGTGTTGATGGATAGGGATCTCATGAGCCTCAGTGGCCTCCTCCTCCTCCTGTACTTGAGACAGACGCGGGGCCTGGAGATAGGCGGAGTCTGGGAGAGGAAATCCCAAATCTGCTAAGCCGTCAAGGTCATCTTTTTCGGCCTTTCCAAGCACGTCGGAAGTGTAGCCTATAACAACGACGCGGGTGCCCTTGAAGGGAGTTACGAAATGATGCCGCTTAGGATCAAACTCGAAAACTTCATCCTCTTCAAGTCTGTGCACCACACCGTGACGCTTGCGACCTCGTGCATCAGTGTGCTCTACAATAGACCCCCTAACAACATCCCCACTACCTAACTCAACCCAAAGATCGCCCCCACGCTTAGGAAGACACACTGGTAGGATGAGATTTGTAGTTCCCGGAAGGTTGGAAGAATCAGTGTGAATGTCCTTTTGACACGAGTTGGACAAACACACCGACGTGAAGGTAGCATCAGGTGCGTGATGCTGCAACAGGCGCGCGCACAGTGAGGCAAGCCACGGCTTACTCCAAGTCGATCGCATACAGCCTACTATCCCTCCCCTACGGAACATTCCAGCTTGATACTGCTCTTCGGGGTAGGCTTGGCAAACCTGCATGAGGAGATTCTTGGCAGCCTCAGGATCCCATTCCTGCAGCAAAGTCTTTGCGCCAGCTTCAAGCTCAGACCACGTCCATGAGCCGAGCTGGGCAGCTCTCAGCTCTGCTTCTGGCGGGGACTTTCCTACAACGCGACGCCTTACAGGGACAGACTCGCCCTCAAACTGCTCAGGGCACTCAGGAGGCTCAACAACCTTAGTTCTCACGTGCAGCGACTGTGTGAACCCATTGCCTTTGCCATCATCCCTGTACACCAAATGACCTTCATTAACCGTTGGAGATAAACCCGCATACCGACCTGAAATCCACCGTTCGGCAATCTCGCCCTTAGCAGCTGCAACAGACGTGTAGGCCTTCACGCGCACCAGGCACTTAGCACCAAAAGGCGCTGCAAGCTTCGTGGCCATACCTAGTACCTCAGACCTCTGCTGTGCTGCAGCAGCTCGCATTGCACATGCCCACAGGGGCG